AATAAATTAATCATATTTATTGAGTTTGATTTGAGATAATTAGATTTATTTAGTTATCTCAATTAATGATTAGTAGATATGATTAATTAATTTTAATTAATTTTGATTAATGTTAAGTTAATTATTTTATTTTATCTCAATTTCACCCACAAGTTTTATGATTAAGCAATTCAGTCCCAAAGTTTCAAATCTTTTTAAATCAGTCCTTTATGTTTTCAAATTTAATCAAATTAGTCCCTTTAATGTTATTTGTGCTTACGATGCATGCTTGTCTTTGATTTTGTCCATTTTAGACCAAAAATTAAAATATGTTTCAATTTTGTTTACCCTTCTTTCAAGCTTGCTTATTAAGACTTAAATACAAACATAATGAATAAGTTGAATCAAACCTCAATTTTAAAGTATATAACCGTGTTTAAACGGAGGATTGTGGGGTGCGCGTATGCCCTTCTTCACTCCTAACCGAACCCCCGAACCCCGATCTCTGTGCAGACTCGTTTTAGGTGACTTGTCCCACCTTATAATTTGAATGAGTGGCGACTCCCTTTTCTTTTATATTTTCACTTAATTTTGATTTTTCATCTGTTTTTGAAAAAAAATCTTAAGTGGTCGTCAACAGATTGGTGACTCCACTGGGGACAGAACCCAGAATCTTTGGTTTCCATATTTTGGGTTCATAAGGGTCGAGCTAATACTTTAACTTTGGGGAATTTTCAACCTTTGATTTTTTCTGTGTTTGTTGAGTCTTTGTGGGTCTTTGTTATTTATTGTATGTGTTTGTTGTGTGTTGCTTGTTGCTTGTTTGCTCATTGTTTTAGTGGTTGCTTTGATTGTTTTGCCTTTGAGTAGTTATCTTGCTACATCTTGACATGCATTATACCTTGCTCATATGTTCATGCATCATATCATCTCACATCCTCATCCATCATTGATATTATATGCTTATTCATCATGCATCATGCATCATGCTTACATGCCTACTTGCTTGTGTGTGGATATACTCACCTTTTACACTTGGCTGTGGAGTACTTAATGAGTCTCTTCCCTCTTGTGCAATTATTTATATCTTGTTGCATGCTAAGTGTTGGTTGCTTAGTGTTACTAACCTTTTGCATTTGGCATAGGAGTACTAGGTGAGTCCCTTCCTGTTGTGTAAGTAGGTGTGTTTGTGGATGCTATATCTATTGAGTGTTTTATATGCTTTATTTGATTGCTGTGGGATATATGTTGCTATTTTTGTGGTTGCCATTGTGCAGGTTATTGAAGTGTCATGCCCCTTACACACACTCACTCTCATTTTGCATTAGGTTTGTGTTTGAGGTGAACCTGACCTCTAGTCTAGAATCCTTACGAATCTGGCTTGGAAGAGCAATTCTTCCCGCTTTGAGGAGTAAGATTGGTTCCCGTTAGGTTGTTTCCATTGGTTAATACGACACTTGATGATGTAATATCATTATGTGTATTAGCTTTTGGAAATATCTCCCGTTGATTCCGAAAGGATAAATGGTTGAGAAAGCCTAATGCCCTTTAGGAAAACATGTATTGGCTTTAAAGAGATACCAACCCTAGGACATGTTTCCTTAGCATCCCACCCGTGAGGTTAGGGATCCCGTGTCTAAGACACAAGGGGCATTTTTCTTCACTAACTTTGTCTCCGCACATGACAGGTTTTCGTTTTTATATACATTTGAGGTATGATTACTTATTCATCTTTTGCATTTAGACATCATTCTTGAGGTAAGGAGCATTCCATGCATTTCGTATCTTCATTTTCAACCCCATACATCAAAAAAACAAAAAAAAAAAAAGAAAAGAAAAAAGAAAAAGTTCATGATTGTTTCACATGCCATATATCCATCCTACTCATTTCACATTAAATCTTCCATATGTCTTGAAAATTTCACATATGCCCATTTTCCATCTAATGCATCACAAAACATGTTTTCATATTCATCTCATGTGACATTCTCCATTTTGTTCAATTTACATTTCGTTTTTCATCTCATGTTTCACAAAAATTTACAAAAAAAAATGAATGATACTCATGTTCATTACATTACATTTTCCATTGCACAAATATAAAAAAAAATCTCATTCACATGCATTTCACATTGCATTGTCTATCTCAAAGTTTCATTACAAGCATTATTATCTCTATCTCATATTTCCCATATTTCATAAAAGTTGCAAAAAAAAAAAATAAATAAATAAAAATGGTGAAAATGAAAAAAATGAAAATTTTATCCATAGTGCTAGTTTTCCTCTCATATTTCTTCATCTTTTTACATTTCGAAAAAAACCAAAAAAAAAAGGGGCATGAAAATGAAAATTTCTCCTATGTTCATTTCACATCTCACTTTTCATCACATATTTCATTCCAACCACCACTATTTCCATCTCATAGTTCAAAAACAAGTGCATAAAAATGAAAATGAAAATTCCATTCACATGCATTTTGCATTGCATTTCGCATTTCATTTCAAGTATTATTATCTCTATCTATGCTCTGTTTCTCATATGTCCCACACTTTATAAAAAAAAATTACATAAAAATGAAAAATCTTGTCCATGTTCGGTTCTCATTCAATCCCATTTTTCATTGCAACTCATATTCAACCTTACATCACATTTTCATCCCATGTCAAATTGACATTCATCTCATGCTCATTTCATGTTTAGAATAAAATCAAATTTGATCCTCATATTTTCTTGTTCTTCAATCAAATCCTTCAAGTCATGATTTTCAAAAAAAAAAAAAAATTGTCCAAACTTTCACTCAAAGTTCTCACCATCTTGCATTTTCTTGAAGTAATTCAAACTTGGGGCACTTTTGGTTTGGGATACAAACCGAAGATGGAAGATTGGCAGAGAAGGCGTGCTATTAAAGCGGAGAAACGCCTTGCCAGACTTCAAGGGAGAGATCCAAGGGATGAACCAATGTGGGTGCCGCACATTAGAGTCACATTTCCACAACCTGCTGAGATTTTTTGCCCTTCTCTTGATGGATATGTGGTAAAACATATGGATGTTTTGTATGTAGATCCAGAGGGTACTGTTTTCATTGACAGATTGCTTGAAATCGGGGAATGTTCAAAACAAGCAAGGTTTGAGGAAGTGGTGGTGGAAGAGATCACCGATGAAGTCTATTCTGATGATGAGGAAGACAGTTTTGGCTTCAACAACCTCTTTGGGCTAGCCAACATGACAGATCCTAAGGAAAGGTGGAGAAGGATGCTCGTTGAAAGGGCATTTATAGAAAAGCACCCCAACTTCCAACTCATTCATCATGCAAATGCTCCAATGGATCCACATGAGTCTGTGCTCCTTGAAACAGTGAAAGAAGAATCACTATGTGACTCATGGGGAAATTTGACTATAAATGCTCTAGATGACGAAGGACTAGAATTTGATAGGGGAATTTCTCTGGTCAATGGAAGCTCTCAAGCTAATTGGGCAGCGGAACTTTTCCCTGTAGCTTTCATCTCCGAGTAAGAAGAGTCAGCCTCTAGTACTTCTGCTTGTGACTACATGAAGGGAGGGATTCAACAAGCACTTTTATGTTTTCTGAAATTTATGTTTTTCTGAAATTTATGTTATCATGGTTCTAGTATTCCCATGCTTTCCTTTTCAATGAAACATATTGCAATCCTACCTATCATTGTAAAAAATCATCATGATGCAACTTTAGTTGAACTTTCACTGTACAAGTCACTCTTTAATGATATATTTTATGAGGTTATCCAGTAACATGTTCCTATCTTTGCTTTATTATCATTTGGCCATTTATTTACTTCCATCCCAAATTTTCAAGCCTGCTAATGACGAATCTTTAAACAATGATGCCATGTCAGACTTTATATATGAGATTGATGATCAGACCTATAAAGAAGAAGACAATGAAAATCTCGATCCTTCTCATGAACTAACTCAAATGCTAAGAGAGGAAAAGCCGAAGCTGCAACCAAATCAAGAGACAGAAACCATTAATCTGGGTACTGAAGATGACAAAAAGGAGATAAAAATCAATGCTCATCTATCCTCAAAGGAAAGAAATGAATTGATTGAGCTTTTATTTGAGTTCCAAGATGTTTTTGCTTGGTCCTACAAGGACATGCCGGGATTTGATCCTGATATCACTGTTCACGCCATTCCACTCTATTCTGAGGCCAAGCCAGTCAAGCAAAAGCTAAGGAGGATGAAACCAGAGGTTCTGTTGAAAGTCAAAGAAAAAGTACAAAAGCTGCTAGATGTCAATTTCATTGAAGTAGCTATGTATTAGGAATGGGTGGCCAATATCGTTCCTATAATGAAAAAGGATGGCCGGGTTAGAGTCTTTGTGGATTATAGAGACTTGAACAAAGCAAGCCCCAAGGATGATTTCCCATTGCCTCACATCCAAATTCTGCTAGATAATGCTGCCAAAAATGCTCGGTTCTTTTTTGTTGATGGCTACTCTGGGTACAATCAGATAAAAATGAAGGAGGAGGATAAGCTCAAGACAACATTCATCACTCAATGGGGTACCTTTTGCTACAAAGTTATGCCTTTTGGACTCAAAAATGCCGGGGCAACATACCAACGCTCTGTGATTACTTTATTACATGACTTTGTGCATACCATTGTTGAGCTATTGTTGATGACATGGTGATTATGTCCAAAGAAGAGGTGCTACATATAGAAAATCTCAAGAAGGTGTTTGAACGCCTTAGAAGATACAAAATGAGACTCAATCCTGCCAAATGTACTTTTGATGTGGATTCGGGAAAGCTACTTGGCTTCATTGTGAGCCGCCGAGGGATAGAGATTGATCCAGCCAAAATAAAAGCCATTGATGAAATGCCACCACCAAAAAACCAAAAAGAAGTTTGAAGTTTCTTGGGTAGAATTAATTACATTGCCCGTTTCATTGCCTTTGACAAAATCAAAGAATACCTTAAAAACCCACCAATCCTTGTGCCTCCAATTGATAAAAGACCCTTCATCCTAAATATCGCTGTCCTTGAAAAATCCATGGGAGCCGTCCTTGTTCAACATGATGACTCAGGCAAGAAAGAGAGAGCCATCTATTATGTGAGCAAGAAGTTCAATGATTGTGAGAGTAAATACTCACCCTTAGAAAAAACTTGTTGTGCCTTAGCCTAGACATCCAAGAAACTTCGCCACTACATGTTAACCAACACCACTTACCTACTTTCAAGAATGGATCCCATAAAATTCATTTTTGAAAAACCTACCCTTTCCAGAAGGATCTCTCGGTGGCATATGTTGCTTTCCGAATTTGATATTGTTTACACCACACAAAAGGCCATCAAAGGGCAAGCCATTGCAGATCATCTAGCCAAACATGCGGCAGAGGATTATGAGCCTATTGATTGGGATTTTCCTGATGAGGACATTTTGGCATTAGAGGCAGAATCTAATCTATATAATTGGAAGCTCTTCTTTGATGGAGCTGTTAACCAGCTTGGTTGTGGCCTTGGAGCCGTGTTGGTATCCCCAAAGGGAGATCATTTTCCTATTGCTATAAAGCTTGATTTTGCTTGTACCAACAACATAGCCAAATATGAAGCTTGTATTGCAGGAATACATGCTGCTCTAGATATGAATGTCCAAGATTTGGAGATATATGGTGATTCAACGCTAATCATATGTCAAACAAATGGCGATTGGTAAACCAAGGATCCAAAACTTATTCCCTATCACCAATACCTTGAAACTCTCATCAAGAAATTCAGATTCATCTCTTTAAACCATATGCCCCGTGCCAAGAATCAGTTTGCGGATGCTTTGGCAACTTTAGCCTCCATGATCCAAATCTCCAGTGATGATGTAATCAAGCCTTTGATGATTGAAATTAGTCAAGAACCGGCACATTGCATGGAAATCAAGGTTGATGACAAACCATGGTTTCATGATATTAAATAGTTCTTGCAAGATTAGGAATATCCTCTGCATGTTTCTGAGGTGAACAAGAAGACAATCAGAAAATTGGCAACTTCATACTTCTTGAGTGGAAATACATTGTATAAACGCTCTGCTAATATGACCTTGTTGAGATGTGTTGATGAAACAGAAGCAAAACAAGTGATAATTGAGGTCCATGAAGGGATATGTGGAACACATGCCAATGGAAGAATGCTTGCTAGAAAAATTCTCCGGGCTAGATATTATTGGTTGACTATGGAACATGACTGCATCAAATGTGCACGAGCTTGTCACAAATGTCAAATCTATGCCGATCACATTAATGCTCTGCCTTCATTACTGCATAATATGTCCACTCCTTGGCCATTCTCCATGTGGGGCATTGATGTGATTGGGGCAATTAATCCTTAAGCTTCCAATGGTCATCAATTCATCTTGGTTGCTATTGATTATTTTACCAAATGGGTAGAAGCAGCATCTTATGCTAGTGTTACAAAGAAGGTGGTCACTCGTTTCATCAAAAGAGAGATCATTTGCAGATATGGGCAACAAGAGGCCATCATTACTGATAATGCAAGCAATTTGAACAATGATATGATGACTGCACTATGCAAGCAATTCAAGATCAAGCATTTGAACTCTTCTCCATACCGACCAAAGACGAATGGTGCAGTGGAAGCTGCCAACAAGAATATTAAGAAGATTTTAGCGAAAATGGCAGTCACTTACAAAGATTGGCATGAAATGTTGCCATATGCTCTCCATGCTTATAGAACCTCTGTTCGCACTTCAACTGGGGCAACACCTTATTCCTTGGCATATGGAATGGAGGCAGTATTACCAATTGAGCTAGAAATCCCTTCTATGAGAATCTTATCCGAGTCAGGGATTGATGAAGAAGACTTGATTCAGAAAAGGATAGATTATCTCAATTTGCTTGATGAAAAAAGATTGGCAGCTCTTTGTCATGGCCAATGCTATCAGCGACGAATGGAAGCAACTTACAACAAGAAAGTCAAACCTAGAGTATTTCATCAAGGAGATCTTGTCTTAAGAAAGATCATGCCAAATGAAAGGGACCCTAGGGGCAAATTCGCACCGAATTATGAAGGGCCCTATGTTGTTAAAGAAGCTTTCTCAGGAGGAGCACTCTTGTTGAGATATCCAGATGGAATTGATTATCATCGCCCAGTGAATGCCGATGCTGTCAAAATGTATTATTGCTAAAAAAAAAAAATTAGGTTGAAAACCCAAAAGGGAGGCCTAACAAATTAAATGTTTCCTTGACTTGGAAAGTTGAAAATCCGGTGATGAAAGGCCCTGTTTCTCTACCCTAAATAGTTGAACATTACCCTTTTGCTTACCCCTTTTGAGCCAAAAAAGGCAATCATTCAAATTTACAAAAAGCCAAAATGATTTTCTTTCTATTAACCCATATTAATGACCGGGGAAGTGAAGAGAGAGATGTGAGGGGAACATATGGATTTTGAGCTTTATCCTTTCTTTCATCGTAACCTAACCCCAAGCCACATTATAAGCCCATATGAAAGTCCTTATCTGAGGGTTTGAAGCTTTCTATGTCAAGGGGCATACATTTAAAAAAAAAAAAAAAAACAAGGAGGCTCCGGGTAGTGACATATGGAAACTTCTTTCTTCTGAGCACGAGAGTTAGTTCATGGAAGGGGAAAGGTTTGAAGTGTCGATATTCAGAAAAGGGATGAAATTCTCTCATGGACTAAAAGACTGATGGGCAGAGTTGCAAAAGAAAAGATGATCTGAAGCAATGATTTATGGTTTGAATATCTTGTAACCAGTTGCATCAAAATCTTGTATTTCTGGCTAGATTTCCTCTTGCTATTAAACAGAGTTGACCTTTTGATCATCCTGACCTCGCTTGAATCTAATGAAATGAATCTTTGCCATTATTCTATTCGCATTTTTACTCCAACCTTACCTTTTGTTCAGTATTGGGAATACTAGTTAAACATGAGGCTTTATTTAAGTTAATATAATCATTTTTCTAATCAAAATCTCTTGATTAATCTGAAAGGTTGGATGAGAATTACAGGGAGAAAGGAAGCTAAATTCAATAGCTAAGAAGTCATCCATGCTAGCTGAAATTCCAATAGCAAATGATTCAACTTATTGGGGCAATATTTTCAAATATTTCTTCATGGGAAATAAATGAGATTCTACCTTTGGCATTCCATAAAGTATTCATGAATATGAATCTATTGAGCTGCTACATAGAGATGATCACAGGTTGATGAATGCACAACATAAAGCACATTTGATTCTCGCCGGATATGGACTCCCAACTTGTTTAGGGAAGTTTCTTAACCTTTCTTCCTTGTTAAGAAACCATTTTCTTGCTCAGTTAAAAAACCATTTTTTGCTTGGTTGAAAAACCATTTTCTCACTCGGTTTAAAAACCATTTCTTACTTGGTTAAAAAACCATTTTCTCACTTGATTAAAAAACCGTTTCTTACTTGGTTCAAAAACCATTTCTACTCAATTAAAAAAAATCGATTCTTACTTGGTTCAAAAACCATTTCTCCCTCGGTTAAAAAACATTTCTTGCTTGGTTCAAAAACCATTTCTACTCGGTTCAAAAACCATCGTACTTGGTTCAAAAACCATTTCTCCCCCAGTTAAAAAATTGTTTCTTACTTGGTTCAAAAGCCATTTCCCGCTCAGTTAAAAAACCGTTTCTTACTTGGTTAAAAAACCATTTATACTCGGTTAAAAAACCATTTCTTACTTGGTTAAAAAACCTAGTTCTTTCTCAGTTAAAAAACCGTTTCTACTCAACTTGCTCGGTCGTTTGACCGTAGCCACTCAAAACTAGCTCAATCGTTTGACCGTAGCAACTTGACTCACTCGGTTAAAAAACCATTTCTACTCGGTTAAAAAAACCATTTCTTACTTGGTTAAAAAACCGTTTCTTAATTGGTTAAAAAACCATTTTTTGCTCGGTTAAAAAACCGTTTTTACTCAACTTGCTCCGTCGTTTGACCGTAGCCACTCAAAACTAGCTCGGTCGTTTGATCGTAGCAACTTGACTCACTCGGTTAAAAAACCATTTCTACTCGGTTAAAAAACCGTCTCTTACTTGGTTAAAAAACCATTTCTTAATTGGTTAAAAAACCATTTCTTGCTCGGTTAAAAAACCGTGTTTACTCAACTTGCTCGATCGTTTGACTGTAGCCACTCAAAACTAACTCGGTCGTTTGACCGTAGCAACTTGACTCACTCGGTTAAAAAACCGTTTCTTGCTTGGTTCAAAAACCATTTCTACTCGGTTAAAAAACCGTTTCTTGCTTGGTTCAAAAACCATTTCTACTCGGTTAAAAAATCGTTTCTTGCTTGGTTCAAAAACCATTTCTACTCGGTTAAAAAATCGTTTCTTGCTTGGTTCAAAAACCATTTCTACTCGGTTAAAAAACCGTTTCTTACTTGGTTAAAAAACCCATTTCTTGCTCAGTTAAAAACCGTTTCTGCTCAACTTGCTCGGTTGTTTGACCGTAGCCACTCAAAACTAACTCGATCGTTTGACCATAGCCACTCAAAACTAGCTTGGTCGTTTGACTGTAGCAACTTGACTCACTCAGTTAAAAAACCGTTTCTCCCTCGGTTAAAAAATCGTTTCTTGCTTGATTCAAAAACCATTTCTACTCGGTTAAAAAATCGTTTCTTGCTTGGTTCAAAAACCATTTCTACTCGGTCAAAAAAACCATTTCTTACTTGGTTCAAAAACCATTTCTACTCGGTTAAAAAACCATTTTTTACTTGGTTCAAAGACCATTTCTACTCGGTTAAAAAAAAAAACCCGTTTC